GTTCCTTTACTATGTAAAGTAGAATCATATGCATATACATCTATTAATGACTTTTCTATGTTCAGTGATAAGTCATTGATGTATAAAATTAATAACAGAGGGCCAAGGATAGAGCCTTGTGGTACATCAGGTTTTTTTATGTATTTAGTATCAGACATGACGTTATTTACCCTAACTTGTTGAATTTGTGTAAACAAGTATGACTTAAACCAATGTCGTGTAGAGTTTGAAATATTACTATATTCAAGTTTTTTTTTCAATAAATTTATATGATTAACCAGATCAAAAGCTTTCCTTAAATCTAAAGATAAAACTCCGTTTATTTCTCCATTATCTATATTTGTTAACCTTTCATATACTAATTTAGCATGTTTAGTAAGTGCAGTAATGCACGAAGGTTTAGGTCTGAAGCCTGACTGTGTAGTATTAAGAAGGTCATTAGTGTTTAGATATATATACAACCTATCAGCGAGATGTCTTTTAATGAATTTGGTCTATAATTATCAGGATAACAAGCATCGCCACTTTTAAAAATTGGTCAAACTCTTGCAGTTTTAAAAATATAAGGACATTTACCACATTTGATGCTTAGATTAACTAAATATGTTAAAGCTGGTGCAATGACATCACTGCACATACTCAAAATGTTTGGTTTAACATCATCTCAACCAGTTGCTTTAGAATTGTCAAGTTTTTTTTAAATACATTTTAACATGTTCTTAGTTCTGGTATAATGAATTTTCACTACCCCTTTGTAACTTAAATTTTGTCAGATTGTATTTACTGCTTTTTGAATTTAACTTGGAGTTCGTTAATTTTGTTATTGTTGTATGCATACTTTAATTTGCCTATCATCTGCCCGTAGCATAACAAGACATGTTGCATATAATGATAGTAAAGATAAAAACATTTATTATGATAATGCAACTATGAAGTTTATTATATCAGTGGTTTTAGTTTCAGTATAACATTTATAAGAAATAAAAGACTCAATGTTGCTTAATAGAAGTTAGACATAAAAAAAGGATTGTGTTTTATCTATCAAAAATATACTGGTTGTCTAAATGTTTTAACACATAATTAATTTCTGGGGTAACTTTTCCTCTTTTGAATGTTATATAACGTTCATGGGGAGATGGTAGTCAATCAAATTTACCAATAATATTTTCAATTGAATGCGACTTTAAATAAATCACACAAATTGGTGTATGGTTTAATGGTTTTCCATTCCGTATAACGCACTCATAAGAAGACAATTAAATAAATTTAAAAAAAACCAAATATAGTATATGGAAATGAGTGTGTACTCTAATAGTTTGCTCACTATTTGATACATGTTATACGAATCATGCTGATATTAATTAAAATTCCTCGGAGTTCGGTATTTTTGTTATTTTACTTTTTTTTTTTATATCAAAACTAAAGTATAAACAATGAAACACATGGATGTGAAAAGTAAAATAACAAAAATACCGAACTCTAAGGAAAATTCTAAACGGAAAGTCCCTAAGCAAATGTCAAAAGCAAAAGCTTAAACACATCAAACATATGGATAACAACTGTCACATTCCTGACTTGGTACAGGCATTTTCTTATGTAGAAAATGGTGGATTAAACCTGGTTCTATAGCTTGCTAAACCTTGCACTTGTATGACAGTCGCATACAATTCCATTGTATTGACAACGATGTGTGAACACAATGACGGGATGTACAAGTACCGAGCCTAAGCAAACGAATCACTACAAAAACAGACAAACAAAATGGCATATAGATAAAGCACATTAGCAAAAATGAAAGACAGGAATACAAAAATTTACCATAGCACAACAACACAATGACGGGATGTACAAGTACCGAGCCACGTCAAATGGATACTGCCAAAAATAGGCTAAACAGCAAAGGTAATAAATTACAAAGAAAAAAAAAAGAAAAGTGTAACATGTTATTACGATGATAAACAACGTCAGTACACTGAAGCTATACTTCAAGACCATCGTGTTTTATTTGTGACGTTGATACGGAATATTTATCAACAAGGTCTTCGTATCTTCCGATGAACATTGTTTTAGAAAAAGGACGAAGAGTTGTAATTTTACATAATTGAAAATTAAATCAGACCTAAATCTTATTCATGGTATTCATCTCCTGCTGCGCATATGCAGGAACCGATATGAGAATCTCTAACAAAGTTTAGTTGCATCTATTAAAGAAAAAAAACCAAAATGGTCTCAATTGAGTCTTTGAAGATGAAATGCGCGTTTGGCGTACACAATTAGAATCTTGGTATCTTGGATAAGTTCATGTACAAACAGGGCACGAATATAATGCAGTGCAATGCAAGTGTATTGGAAATATGTGTGTATACAAATTGTATCGAACAAGTAACCGAGACGATCTATTCTCTTTATGATACATGAATTACGGTAACGATAAACTGCATAATTAAGAAAGAACTAAAAAAGAGCAAGTTTTTGAAACTGCAGTTAACGACTATTTATTAAGACGTATGTACACAATGGGCATACATTCACGTCAACGTTAATTCGTAAAAAAATGAAATGAAACATATGTCTGTATTAAATATTCATCTGGAGCGCGTAAATCCACCAACTTGCAATCTAGGGATGCATTAATATGAAGGAACTTTAGCAGCTATCTTACCAAACATGCCAACTTGTAGTTCTAAAAGAAAAGCAAAATTCGTCAAGGATCAACTTTGCCTTGTGAAGTTAGAACACAATGGAGTGACGATGGATGCACTGATCTCGGTAGAACGCATGTTTGCTATATGATAAAGGTATATATTTATTACTTACGTAATCAAGCCTTGACTGCTTCAATAAAGATAAGAAAAATGTAAGAAACTTATTAAAACAATTGTAACCATGATTTGTATAATTATATGCTGATTACCTTAATCACATGTTGTAAATTAAGAAATGTTGTTCGAACAAAAGACAAAAATGCGAGATCAATTATTGGACGTTAGCCAATGTTGCATACACATCATGCACATAATGCTATCTTAATTTAAAAGTACAAGTTCTAATTTTTGAGAATCTTAATCTGTCGCATTATACGAAACAATAAAAAATAGCAAATATGTCAGAATGTATAGTAATACAATAATACATTAATATATACTAATATTGAGTAACTGATCATTTGTAAATTCATCAAATCAACTTAAGCAATGGGTATGTAGCCGAATTTGATTCGAACTGTAAGCGGGGGAGTATAAACAAAGCATGCATTAAAAAATATCAGCAATACTATTAACTTTTCAAAACTAAGCTAAGTTGCGTTAGCTATTAAATATAACTAGTCGACTTTGGCGTCCATAGCAGACATCATGTGTTCTTACTTCAAAATTAAGTATAAATGTTCTTTTTTTTAATTTCTATGAGATTAACGATTTATTTTATTATTGCCCTTCTTTGTCTTTGCAGAAAAAGTTGAAAACTGATTTATAGTCAAAAGATATCTATTGAAATACAAAGATAGTGTTTAGGGAAACGCTTTACAGATCAAGAGAATATGCATTGCAAATCACACCTTTAAAACACTAATTATTTGTAAACGAACGACAAATGATGTATTGTCTTGGAAATGATTAGTTTTGGCCCATCATTATTATGCAGATGTAGCTGTGATATTACATGTAATCAATCTAAAAACAAGACCAATTGGCCCTCGTCATTAACAATACCTTGCCTTTTTTAAACAGATGAAGAAATAAAAAAATATGCCCTTTCCTTTACCACATTTAACTTCACAATGTTTAAACAATAAAGAAGAATTATAACATAACTACATACTTGCATATGTGATCTGCCTCAGGCTCCTTACTGCAAAATAAAATCACATTCTTTTGGTTCTTATTCAGTTGTTTTGAGGAATAACACCTTTAAAACTATAATTGAAGAGACGCATGTTTTCATGTGTTGTGTGTTGTTCAGAAATATTACCGGAATCACGGTTCAATACAATTTGGAAAAGAAAAGGTCACAACAAGACGTCTTGTAATTCTAAAGTCAATCCTCTTACTTAACTTACGAAATAATTTCATTAAGACACACCACTAAGTAAATGAGGTTATATAGTGTTTTATGTCAAGTCCAAATAACACTATCATTCCAACAAGGGAGACATTATTTTGTCTTTTTCATATTCTGTTTTGAATGATTGTCTTCGTTTAACTTTTGACCATGGTGTTGTTTCTTTTTCTTGGACTTCGGACTTTTAATTTTCGATTACCTCGAGCTCCTGGATGCCCTGATATATTATCTTCAAGTGACAGTTTGAATTTTTGCAATCTTTTTGAAATCTATTTCAAGTACTGTCAGTTTTCAATATTTTTTATGAAAGAAAGAAAACTGACACGAAATCATAGAGAACAGTTTTATTATAAAAAATATTGTAACAAAATCAACAAACTCTGAGAAAAATTCAAATCAGAAAGCCTCTTTTCAAATGACAAACATTCATTCAAAACAAAATATGCAAAAGACAAAATAATGTCTCCCTTGTTGGAATGATAGTGTTATTTGGACTTGACATAAAACACTATATAACCTCATTTACTTAGTGGTGTGTCTTAATGAAATTATTTCGTAAAATAAGATGTGGTGTGCACAGTAGTCCAAATGCTATTTGTTTCAATTAAATATTTTAAGTAAACGATCAAGAAGACATACTAGCTTGCTTGTATTGCCGATTACAATCAGATGTAAAGATTTATTAAGTAAGGACACTTGCAATTGTCTTTTGGCAGAAAGGTCAAATTGCTATATGTCTGATTTTAATATTTGAAGTAAAAGATAAAGTGAAATTTTTCAATATAAGTAACTGTACTTGAAACTTACCATCAATTCAGTTAATCTTAGCATGTATAAATAGAGCATACACTTAAAACACGTGTTTCTTGTCAAAATAAGCTAACATGGGAGACCTTAGCATTATTTGTTTTCTAATATCGTTCATTATTAGAAACACATACTTACGTTAAAATCTGTTTTCTTCTATAACAAAAAGTAAAATCACAAAAAATACCGAACTCCAAAATACAAAATGCCAATAAAAATATCAAATTACAATATAGTACAAAATACATTAGATTGACAGAATTTGTTATTTTGTGGCAAATTCCAGACACAATATTTGTTTAGCAATTTATAGCAAAGTGCCTTTTGTAGACTTTAGAATCACCACAGAATGCAAATACCAGTGTATTTTGTCAAGTCAGATTTATATTCACTTACGAGAGAAGAATGTATTGCCATTGTCAAAATAAGGGTGATAATATTTTGAATATTATAAATACAGTGTTTGTTAATTAAATAAAAACGCATCATCGGACATATACTACATTTTCGTTATGTTGTTTGTTAAATCTGTACTTTACTGTGTTGCTTGTTTGTGTATACTAGAAATGTTGGGGTTTTTTTCGTTTTTTTTTTAAATCTGTAATGGTCATTTGAATAGTAACAGCATCATAAATCTTAAATATATGAATCTAAAACGTTAGGTCACGCTTATATTTATATAATGTTTTAGATATTTCTCTTTGACATTTCGCTTGCAGCCAATATACTTCTGTTCCTGCACGTTATCATCAATATGTTGTTGCTTTGTGCTATTAAATAACAGATACTTAATAACCTGAATATATTTTGAACATATCTAAATAGCCTCCAAAATAATCAACTTTGGGACACATTGTCAACTTGTTATATGCATACAAAGTCGTAGGGTTCCAATTCCTATTTGCAATCCTATTTCTTTTACAAAATGAGACATTAATTTGTCAATTTTCATTGATATCCAATTGTAATATATATCTATAAATACATAAAAAAAAAAAAAAATTTGGAAAAACTACATCACCTTGGCATTACCATACACTATTTGATTCTAACAAGAACGTTAGAATACATTTTCATTTTCCCGCAATATTTTCAAATATTCCGATTTAATTTTTTATTAAAATTATTGTTTCTTGAATGATGACATTAGAAACGAGTTCTCAAATTTTTTAAATATGTTATATTGTTCTTTTGTATTGATCATGTTGATTCCACATTCACAAAAACACAGGAAAAGACATTCCAATAAATCAGTAAACAAACCAAAGAGACAATTATAATAAAAAAAACATTTTCAATGGTTTGATTAGTTATACTTACTTGCACTTCCAACATGCGTATCTGTACCTCTTTTGCATTGATTGTGGCCTAAAATGGGATTATTCAAATTGTACTGCTATTTATTATACTTGGTCTTTGTGCATTGCGTTAAGGAAAAGACATAATAAACATGTTATGAATAATAAAAAGTAAACAAACACCTGATCCCATATATTTTTAAAATGAGTTTTTTATCTATCATTGATACTATGCTGTTGTAGACAACGATTCTAATAAAGACATGTTCTTTTTTATAATTTTCAGAAAGCTCATATCAATAATAATTTAAACTAAATAAAGGCAACAGTATTATACCGCTGTTCAATAAACGTGATAAAATGTAGAAAAATAAGTCCATACTTAGTGGCGAAGATTGTTACATTTGTACTTGTCTTCTGACAATGACGGACCGAATGTTGATCTCAAGATAGCTTTTGAATTATTTTGTTGTTGTTTTCCTGTTTGAATGAGATATGCAGTATATCGCATTTAATTCATACAAAAGTGATGGTCTTGACTATTTATTTTAGGACCCTGTCAAATTCATCAAACCGTTGGACTTAAATGCTCCTGCTGAAGATTTGTTTATTAGAAAATCAATTTGGACGAGCCACGTGTACAATGAATGTTCATATGTTGTAACACTGGATCTCCTTTTATCACCAGCCTAGAGGCCAGTACCGTGCTATATACATTATTTATAGTCTATGTTTATAAACTTTCAAATTTATTAAGTATAAAGACAATAAGGTCTAACTATCTCAGAGGAATTGAACTTATATTATTTTGACTATTCGTGTTGCTAATTTAGTAAAAATGCACCTCAACTGATAATAAAGTATATATGCCTTTACAGTTGCGTTTTTTGTGTGTGCCGATATAGGCTTAGTCTTAAAAACTTTTCGGACGCATCAAAGTTATATAGACTTATTTTAAATATATGTAAATAATAATTATTTTAGCATGGTTAACCGATGTATGTATCTAGTAAAACAGTTCATGCTGGCTATTGTGTTAGTTAACAATGAAACAAAATCTGAGAAAATAGAATAGCATTATTGTATGTTTGTTTTAGCTAAGAATAACGACGTGCGCCAGAACTCGTTATATTATGGTAAGTAAAAAATGAAAAGAATATGATGTTTTGCGGGAACCCGATAAGTGGTCACAACATTGTTCATATAACATGAAGAATCGATGCGCACATACCGAAGAATGCATTTTAAATGTCAGTACGCCATAATATGACGTTAGACATGTGGTTCCACCATTCACAATTATATAGCTATTTAGCATTTTATATTTACGCAGTGTAGAGCAATGCTGATGCATTTAAACAATTTCAAATCTTATTTACTTTCCTCGAGTTTTCTCAATATTTAAATTTGGCCATATGAAGAATTAATAAAATGAGAATACCAAGGCAAAATCAGCATCAGCAAATTGCCTGAGTTACAAACCACAATTGAATATAATTTTAAGTTCAATGTAGCCTGCGGCTTTGGTTAGCTGATGTTCCTTGACCTTGTCCCCATTTTATAAAAATTGTTGGACAATCAATACAATATCTACTGAGTATTATTTCCGCAGCTGAGGGATGAATCAGGTGTGGAATAATACGAGATAACTTTCCATACAGGTGAAAACAAATTTGTTTACATTTTTTTTTAATTTTGTAGTCACAAAATGATAAAAGACATTAAAGCACATGTGGCCTTAGGTTTACAGATAAAGCAGAAGAAGTAAACGACCATAATACATATTCAAATTTATTTATCAATATTATAATAAAAGTACTTCAGTTAACTGTGTATCTGTTTCTGTTTCTGTAATAATTCTTCACCTCCAATATATGAGATCGAGGAAATCCTCATTTAAACCAAAACCCAAATAATATCACACGATATTGTACATTTAACTTTAAAGTATTTACAGTTAAACATAGACATTGAAATTCATCAGTGTTTCTAGTCCCGTGAAATTACAGAATAGGATGCATAGGACACAAGGACTGACAAACACGTGATACATCCCATCGTCTCAGTTTAAAAGGGGAAGAAAAAAAAATATATAACAAAATTTAAAATAGATAAAAATACACATATTTAAAATTGAAACTCCATCACCAGATGTAATATTTACAGCCATATATTACACAGAATTATAAATCCACTGTTGCAAAAAAACAAAAAAACAAAAAAACAAGCAAATAAATAAAACAACACAAAACAGCACAAAACATCAAAAATCAAAAATTATAAAGTTGAAAATTAAAACAAAATATGTTGAACTTAATAAATGTATTGGAGTACCCTATCCCTTTTTCGATCTTATTGCTGCTTTATATCGAGCACTGTGCAGGTTGTGCAAATGTCTTTTGCAGTAAAATTCCAGGATTATCAATAGATATAAGAAGATGTGGTATGAGTGCCAATGAGACAACTCCCCATCCAAGTCACAATTTGTAAAAGTAAACCATTATGGGTCAAAGTACGGTCTTCAACACGGAGCCTTGACTCACACAGAACAGCAAGCTATAAAGGGGCCCCAAAATGACTGTGTAAAACCATTCAAACGGGAAAACCACAGTTTAATCTATATAAAAAACGAGAAACGAGAAACACTTATGAACCACATCAACAAACGACAATTACTGAACATCAGATTCCTGACTTAGGACAGGTGCAAACAAATGCAGCGGGTTTAAACGTAACAACCTTCACCCTTATCTGAAACGATAGTGTAAAATCACAGCATAGAAAGACACACTATAAAATATCAACTGAAAATGGCTTAACTCAATCAAAAGACATATTAACATTCACTGATCGAATAAATTTGATCTATGATACAATGCAAATACAAAATCAATAAAATAAGGCGTGAATAAATAAAGGCAACAGTAGTATACCGCTGTGAGATGTTAAACAATAAAAAAAAACAACAACAACTTTGAACAAAAAGCCGCCAAGTACAATAATATATCAGTTTGTTTACTGATGACTTCTGTGCATTTCTCATAAGTTAATTTTTGTTTGTCAGTAGAACAGTTCAATATAATTTGTATTTTCTCTTCATCTAACATCTGAGCTAGTTTCAACTTGTATGTTTTATATAGTTCTGTTTCTTTATCTTGTGTTTTCGCTTGACGTGTTGATTCTAATAAAGTAAGGTGAGTGGAAAATGTTTAATATATTCGTCATCTTCTCCACATAGAAGGCATTTTGCACATACTATTTATGATTGAATCTTGAACGATTTGCTTGAAATATGTAAAATCCGCTTACTGGTTTTAGATATAAAACCAGGTTTCATCCAGCATTTTCTACATAAGAAAATGCCTGTACCAAGACAGGAATATGACAGTTGTTTTCCACTCGTTTAATGTGTTTGCGCTTTTGCCATTTGATTAGGAACTTTCATTTTTGAATTTTCCTCGGAGTTCGTTATTTTTGTTATTTAACTTTTTAATAGGTACTCTATATGTGTCTCGAGCTGATTGTGTTGGAATATATATTAGGGGGTGTTGGTTTTCCGGATTATAAGATTCTACATTCATGTATCCCAAATGTTTATAAAGTTTAGTTAAAGTTGTCATTTGAGCTTTCCATTTTTTGAATACCTCTTGATAGATCAACTGTTTCAATTGCGTTTTTTTTTGTATGGTGTTTCCAAGAGTAGATAAATGTCTGGTAGATTATATTTCCAGAATATCTTTTTGACCATGTTTAACCAAGAGTTACTCTGTACTGATTTTAAGTATAACTTCCTCTTGGCAATTTGTTTCTCTGTGGCTGTTTCGGTAGTAGAAATATATTGTATACAAATGTCAATATTCTAAGATGGAACTGTCCTTCTGTTGGAACGAGTCTAGATATTATATATATAATACAACACCAGGAGTGTTTTGTGAGAGAGAAAGAATTTGCTTGATCATTCGTTTGTGAAATTTCTCTAGTTTTTCCATATTGATTATTTCCGGAACTATAATTTCTAGTCCATATATTAAGGTTGGTATAATATATATTTTCATTAAATGTATACAGGTGCTAAGGTCTAATCGATTATTTCCATGAAATCCGACAGACATTAGACTGTAAGCTGTATTTCTTGCCTTTGTGATGTTAATATTAACAGTGTTCTCGATTGTTTCCTTCTCTGTTGTCGATCTCTGTATGACTAAATATACTGCTTTATCTACATTTGGAAGTATTGAATCATTGAGTTGTAATTCAATGCTGGAGTTGTTATGTTTAGCTTTACGATCTTTCATTTGAATAAATACACTCTTTTGTGGTTGAAATTTATAGTGTTCTTGGCAATTGAATTTAAATGCCATATTGAGGATAATCTGAGCTTCTTCAGGATCTGTATAGTTGATAACTATGTCGTCCGCACAGGCAGTTGCTTAGCAACGTATATACCCAACTTGCATGCCTAATCCAATATGTTCAAGGTTATGTAGGAGTGGGTCTTCAAAAGTTGTATATAGATCCGCACTCATAATTCTTCTTTGACGTACTCCTTGTTGAATGTTAAAAACTTCAGTGACTAGTCCTCCTAATTTTACAGATGATGAAGTATTTGTGTGTAGGCTGTGAATCAATGTCCAGAGGTCCCAGGTTATACATTCTGCGCAACATATTGTGTTGCACTACAACGTAGTAGGTTGTTTTGGTGTGCGTTAGTAACTGTATCTTTGCTAGCCAAGGCCTACGATCCAGTCCACTCCTCTCCACCCTTGGCGGATTAAGATAGAATTCCAGATACACGAGGTAATGATTTTCATCGGTCGCAGTTGTAACTGGCTGCATCCAATTGAAAAGCGCCTTCATGATGATCAAGTGTAAATATAGAAAATGTAAATAAACGATTATCACGTGCTAATTGTACATGAAGTCTGTACCTTAAAAGATAGGGCGACATATAGTGACAATTTTAAAGTTCTTAATCAACAAATTGAAGTTCCTGAGTATGTTTCTTGTGCAAATATTGGAATGTCAACGTATAATTTCGATTCCCGCTTCACGATATTTGTAAACACTAAACAAATCCATTTTTACACCTCCAAACTGAACAAGTTTCAAGTGCTGCCATTGGTCAAGAATGATGTAGTTGGAATTGGCGTGACATTTTTCTGCCGTAATATGGTGCAGTATTGTGATCACAATCAATGGTTTAATCTGCCAAGGGTGGAGAGGAGGGGATTGGATCGCAGGCTTTGGCTAGCGAAGATTTGGTATCTGGTGTAATTTTGTTTTTGAGAATCGATTCGATAACTTTTCCAAATACCGGGAGAACAGTTATCCTTCTGTAGTTCTTAGTATCGAGGATATTACATTTGTTTTGTACACAGGAGCTAGTAGGCCTTTCTTGAGTATATCTGGTTACATTCCTGATTTACATGTTGCTAGGATGATTTTGTGTGTACAGTCATGTACAGTATGTAGATTTATGGGCAGTGTTTGAAAGTAGGGAAAATTCTAAAATGGATATCATTATCCCTATGGGTCAGAAAATACTACAGTGCCACCTACGGACAAACCCCATATCGTAACGTCCGAGGCAGATAAAAAAATCCATGATTTGTTCCCAACATGTCAATCACCAGCAATAAGTCCACTTACCATATATTATAAGAAAATGCGTAAGCATCTCGAGAATGGTACAAATACATTAGTCAAAGTATCTAGATATTCAACAATTCTAAAAAAAAATCAATGCTTTTTCCATTGGTTATCAAAGCCTTGCTATTCTTTATCTAAAACTACGTATAACAACCGTTTGTTTTACATTGATGACGAAATAATTGAACGCAAATTCCAGTTTCTATATAGTTACAGTTTTATGTTTTTGTGTTGCTTTTATCTTTATATGCTAGATTATTGCATCTTAATTCATTTAGTAAAATGGAAAGCAATAAAATAAATACTCAGCACTCATTTCTGCACTCTGTTTGTTTCCCGTGGTTCCAATGACGTCTTTACTGTCCCTGAAAAATGAAGACGAAACAGTTTCTAAACACAGAATATTCTTAATTAATTTTGAAATTATTGTATTCTGCAAACACTCTTTACACATGTACAGCTACCAACTTATTTCAAGTAGAAATGATCAAATCTAAATCAGATTCATCTAGTCATACTTTGCAAGTTTCCATACTTTAAAATATATATACTGTACGTATAACAATTATAATTCAAAAAAGGACATCAAAATTACCAAAGTTTATGAAAATATCTTGAATTTGAATAAATACCCAATACTTAACTTTATATCGTCTGTGTGTCGTGAAGCCTAGGTTAAGTAATGTTATGTTCTGTTAGCATCGATTTATCCAATGCAAGACAAATTTGTGTACATCAACATTGGTATACGACATGTCCACTCTATCCTGAATAGCAGTACTAATCATGAACATATATAGTTAATGTCAATTGCTGGTTTCTAAATTACTCTTTGTTTACAACCATTATTCAATTTATAATTGTAATATTATTAAAAAAATATCATGTTAAAACCACAAGGTCTCATACTATAATCATTATGCACCATAGTATACTTTTCATCTTTTATAGATAGATGACTTACCGAAATTGCAACTCTCCGAACAGGTTTTCTATTTCTGTGCCTGATGGCTTCTTGTTTCTGTATGACACAGAAGGCGTATTAGGAATCTGCTTTAATACTATTTGGTCAACGTCACTTTTAAGTTGTTTTAGCTTTTTTAACATTAGTATATCTGATGTCGTTTCCATTTTCTTGATTTTCTTTTGCCATGTATGACAGTTCTCTACAACTCCCTCATATACTTCACAATATGCAGACATACTTTTTATTTCTTTCTGTTCCTTATCCTGTACTTCCTTGATCAAAGCTTCTACTTTCTTGTCGATCAATTGCTTCCAGTAATTTCCTTCGTCAGTAATGGTCTTGATGACTGACTTGACTCCCTCGCGGTAGATTTTTGTTTCCATCTCAATTTTGCTTATGTTTTGCCTCGATGTTATTACCTTCGATTCAATGTTCTTGACAAGTTCAGATCTGAGTTTTTCAGCTGATTTAGTCAGGTCTGTCATCAAATGACGATTGTGTTTCTCCACAATGCAAATTCTACACACTGGAGTATCACAATCATGACAGTAGAATAAAAAAGTTTCTTCGTGTTCTGTACAGAGTAGTTTTTCTTTCTTGTTAATGTTTGGTCCGCTTACAAACGTGTGGTCTTTACTTATCTTTGTACGTAAATGAGATAATTTACAGCTTCCGCAAAATAACTGATCACACTGCTGACAATAATGTTCACCCGGTCCACCAACACATATTTCACAGGTCGATGCAGCAGTTTGCGCCATTTTTATTTGTTTGTAGGAATCATAAACAATACCCGTTTGCTTGTTTGTTTAAATTTAAAGTATAATCCGGAAACATAAGCCAGTTCCATACTAACGATTAGCCATCAATTCATTTATAAAAATAAGTAAAAATAATAATTTAATTCACTTCGCTGTTCAAATAAATTTATGCTTTTTTTTTTTTACATAACATCGTTTGATATATTATTTTTTTTCTTTTAATCACTGTTTCAAAGCGAAACAAAAAATATGCAAATATGAAGCAGTTTTTAAAACGATGCTATAGCTAGATTTGTCTTCATTGCTTAATTATCACGAGGATTACTATTGTTTTATATCTATTGCATTACATAAGTTTATTCCGGTTGTGAAGTCAATTGTTGATTCTAAGTTGTGAACCTCAGATCACCAGACTAAATAAATATAAACAATCAAACGTGGCCTCTGTCAACCGAATACATTTCTTTACCTGTATTGGCTAGATTAAAGACACGTTTTACCTGATTGGTTACGCAGGGTTATGTTATGTATGAATGTCACCATTATTATCTTGATCAATTTAAAATAAGTTGTATACTATTGAGTGCGTATTAGTCAGATATATATTAAAATGTGGTTAAAACGTTAGAAAATTGTACCATTATAAGGTCTTTGCAAACTGTTGTAGAAAAATAGTTGTACTTTTTGTAAATACACATGTATGTGAATTTTTTTATCGATTGGCAGTGACGTTAATATTTATATTTATTCTTCAATCGACCTTTCTACTATACTAACACAGGTTTACAGATAACATGAAGCGATAAACGTATACTAGACGTTTATAGTCTCCTGGTATCTTTCTTCTAAGAGCGAACGTCTTTGTCAATTTACTGATTACATCACAGTTCAATTTGGGGTCCTCATTGCGGTCCGCGTTCAAGTCATGTCGATTTCATTCAAAAATATATTCAACGATTGGGATGGGAAAAAATGTACAAAATTAATTGCAGGATAAAGAAAATATCAGTTTAGTGTCTTTAAATATCATCTGTATTTGTATTCGGATCGAAACAGGAGTAATAGCTCGCTGAAGCTCGCATTTCACCTGTTTCCTAGCCTCGTGCACATACAGCTAATATTTAAAGACACTAAACAGTTATTGTCTATATATATCACTTCTTTTACACGTTTAACATGTGTAAGCACTTAACCACTCCATTTACAATAGTTTAGCGGATCGATTATTCTATTTTTATCAAACGACGACTGTTTACCTATACAGACAGTCCATCACCTTACCGATTTTGAACCGATTCTTATTTATAGATAAACTATGAGTAATCGATGTGTACATTTTTAAATAGTAGTGTGCTTAGAGCTTGTCTTGATAACCCTTTTGTCCTGTGATTAATAAACAAAACAAGTTATTTGGTAAAGAAAAAAGAAAAGCTAATAATAATTGTAGTGGTATTTGTACTGATTGTTTTAATACAGTTTTGACTATTTGATTAATTTTAAGAAATCTCTAGTCATTTGCTTTATAACTATGTATAACAATAATTAAATTCTATCAATGCCTTACATTCCGGTAAGTCAAGTTATCATTTGGGATCGTGTTTTTGTAAAGTTAATTGTTCGGGTTGCGTTGACTATGATCATGATTTGTGGTATGAATATAATGCAGATGTAAACGAACAGACCCCTTTCTCTGGACATAAAACCGAAATTTTATATATTTGAAATATATTTAAAAGCCATTTAGGTATATGTGATATAAGGTTATTATCAACGACACCTTATTTGAAGTCATACAAGTTATAGTTATCCATAGAATACTTCATTTCTATAATGTGATATAAAATTATTTAAGTATATGTGATGTAAAGTTATTATCAACAACACATTATTTGGAGTTATACATGTTATAGTTATCCCCAGAATGTGATATGACGTTATGTACACTGCAATTTACAAATCAAAGAAATATCATTCACATACTCTATGGATCCTTACGTTACAGACTTTTTACAGAGTTACTTTTATTTTATTGAATTCGTCAGTTGGAAATTATATTAATATGTTTTTTTGTATAATACGTTTAATTTCGAGAACTGTCCATATAATTTTTTCAAATACCGTCACACACATTTATTTTTAGCAATAGACCTTCTCATATACTTTGCTCAATCGGAAACCGAGATATATATACAAGAGTGAAAAGATACCAAGGGGACAATTATAATTAACCTTTTTCTGCGAGTCTTATATTTCCAATCGGCTGTTGGTAGACGAATCCAAAATTTCAAAAATGTTACTTTTAGAAACAAAAACGACAATCAAATACTTTACCTAAACATTTAATTTAAACCACTTTGATAATGTTATATGCAAATTAGCAAATATTTCCTCAGTTGTCCTGAACATGCATGTAGTATTAAAAACTAGACATTGATTTTTGACAGAAAACGTAGAATAATCTTTTTTAAGATGATTAGAATTACTTTGTTTATCTATCCAGCAATGGAAAAGAAAAACACTGTACACATGTTGTTATTGTGAAGATGAACCTGATCTGGCATATGTAAAATAAACTTACCATCATAGTTTCCTGAATTGATTTATTTACTTATTCAAATAGTCATATACTATCGATTGATTTATTTTCATGGGTACTAATTTTCGTGTATAAAACTTGAATCAGTACAATGTAAGAATACAATTAATGTACAGTAGTTTAGCAATGTTTAAATCTCGTTAATCGATTAAAATAAGCCAAATTAAGGCAATTAACAAAATTAAGTAAACTGATTATTGTTATTTCATACTGTAAAAAAATCCCGGTCTAAACTCGATAAAAAGTGAAGCAATAAACGCGAAAAGATATACCCACACTCAAAAAAAAAAATAACTAGATTTTACTTAAAACAAGCATTGTTTTTACTCATATCAAGTAAAAGAAAACGTAAAAATGTTTGTTAAAAAAATGAGTAATTGCTAGTAATTCCAAGTAATTGTAAGTAATTAGCTAGTAATTAAATGCAAGTGATTTTTCAATGTATCTTAAGAAATTCTTTTAATATATACCAAATATGTTTTTTTATATATAATAAGTAATTCTTTTAATATACATTAAGTATTTCTTTTTATTATAGTAAGTTATTCTTTTAGTACACATTAAGAATTTCTTTTATTATAGTAAGTAATTATTTTAATTCATATTAAGCCTTTCTTTCAATAATAGTAATTAATTCTTTTAATATACATCAAGTATTTCTTTTTATTATAGTGAGTAATTCTTTTAATACACATTAAGTATTTCTTTTTATAATAGTAAGTAATTCTTTTAATATATATTGAGTATTTCTTTTAATATTCTTAGTAATTTTTTATCACTTGTAAGCCATTCTTTTACTTATGGCAAGTAATTTTTGGATATTTGGAAAGCACAACAATTTTTATCCAACTCAATCATAGGTTTGAACGTTGTTTTCAAATTAGACTTGTTTATATTTTTTCGTTTGGGCTTGTATTATATTTGCCTTAGGGTTTATATGATCCGTTCATCCTATTTTGACTCCTCAAAATTCAAGAGTCTATCCTAAATTGAGGTAAATTGTTGGGCTTTCCAAATACCGTTTCGATTCCTAACATCACTGAAGAGACATTATTTGTCGAAATCCGGATATGGTGTACAAAAACCTTTGCACCTTTTGTTTGCGGTGTATCATCTTCTCCGCAAGTTTATTGTTTTCTGTTTAGTATTAAATTTAAAATTAAGATCCATTTATTACATCGGTGATCCGTTTATTTGGCAATCGCCAATGGCAGTCAGCAGGGTTTATGAACATTTGTTGTTCGACCTGTTAGTCAAATGCGTTTTGTTAAAATATACTTTTTCACTCTTTTGGTCTTTTGGAAAATGTTGTTTGTGCTGTATTTAGACCCCTCTAACAAGAAATTTGTTTTGCATGCACACGTATACAAATTGCGGTTTTTATCCAACTCAATCATAGGTTTGAACGTTGTTTTCAATTTAGACTTGTTTATATTTTTTCGTTTGGGCTTGTATTATATTTGCCTTAGGGTTTATATAATCCGTTCATCCTATTTTGACTCCTCAAAATTCAAGAGTCTATCCTAAATTGAGGTAAATTGTTGGGCTTTCCAAATACCGTTCCGATTCCTAACATCACTGAAGAGACATTATTTGTCGAAATCCGGATATGGTGTACAAAAACCTTTGCACCTTTTGTTTGCGGTATATCATCTTCTCCGCAAGTTTATTGTTTTCTGTTTAATATTAAATTTATAATTAAGATCCATTTATTACATCGGTGATCCGTTTATTTGGCAATCGCCAATGGCAGTCAGCAGGGTTTAAGAACATTTGTTGTTCGACCTGTTAGTCAAATGCGTTTTGTTAAAATATACTTTTTCACTTTTTTGGTCTTTTGGAAAATGTTGTTTGTGCTGTATATATATATACATATATATACAGATTAGAATAAAAATTCCACACTGTTTTATTATAAATACATATAATTTTTAAAAGTAACATTCCTTTCAAAGAATGGTTATATAATATATCCTTTGTTTTAATCCATTTCTATTCTTGTTTGTTGTAAGTTAACATGGGCTACCTCCCCAGCAACTCTTTGTGCTACATTTTCATTTAATTGAAATAGTACACGAAGAGTAACCAGAAACATGAATACCCACAAAGTGTCCTTTTGGTAAATATCTCCTTTCTTTTCATGCTTGTCAATCGTGCAAGTATTTAAAAAAATCTCAGTATACTTTTTGGTCAAATTAAAATCTGAATGAGTTCCAGCCGTTTTTCCAAAAAAGCTTACCAAGGTCAAATGAAAGTTTAATTTTGATTGGATAAATATTTGTTCAGTGCCAAATCAAAAACTACTTATTAAATACTGGAAATATCATACAATTTTGTACATTTATAAAAGATAGTCAATAGGTATCAATTTTAGTAATACCAAGTTTATATTAAAAAAAGTGTA